TTGGTAATTACATGAATGCATGGGCATTTTTAAAAATGCAGTTTAGGAGTATAAATGTTTCTATCCTTTTTTCCCAAGATTGTATTTAGAAATTAATTTGGTTCCTCTATATACTTTTAGTTTCAGGTTATTCTTTCAAGCTGTCATATTCAAGACATTATACTAAATTGTCTAGCTTCCTGCTATGTTTAGAGAATTTTTCTTAATGATTTTGGATTATCCTAGATGATGTGTCTTGAATTATTTATTAGCCTTCTTAATTTTTAGTTGACATTTAGCTTACATTATAATGTGTGCTCTCCTACTCTTTATGTTGGGTATATTGTTTGAAAATATACCCAACACAAAGAGTTGGGTTTGAAAAGATGCTTTGGCCTTCTGCTCACAGTAGCTCTATCATTTTATACATGAATAATGTAATCATAGTATGGTAATATAGAATAAAAACTTCACCTGTTTCTGAATCAGAGATGGCCATATAGATGGGGATAGTAAGTAATGTTACAGTGTTATCTCAGGAATGTGTGGATAGCACAGAGGAGAAAGATCTTAGAGGGCACTGGGCATCTATGAAAAAGTAAAGGAATGCAATAAAATCTTGATAATCCTCAAGATGATGGTTTGTAAAAACTATAACTTCACAGGTTTCAGAATTTTGTCAGCAGTATTTTATTTACTTATACAGAAGATTTAGACAATATTTTTATTGCATTTTGATTTGAGATGGTAGCATCACTGTATTGGATCCAAATCTTTTCATAGAATAAACTAATTCCATTTATAATCATTTTTTAACAAAGACACAGTTTTGAAAGAAATAGTAAAGTAAAAAAAATGCACAACTTTCTCTGTGCAGAAATTACTTCCTTATTAAATTACCTAAGTAGGTCTTCTTATTAAAATCTTGGAAAGAGACAACAGAAAATATATTCTTTAGGAACAACTCAAAATGTTAAATATAATGAATATTAGGATGGTGTAAGTCCAGGGAAAGGAAATTCCGGGGCAAAATACCCCTAAAAACCAAAATCAGTCAAAGGGAGAAATAAAATTTAAAACCCGTTTATTGCTTATGAAAAAATGTCCGGCCCATCTCTCTCTCCTGCTCAAGCAACCACAACCCCGGCCCTCCCCCTCACCTCTCAGGTACCGATAAGCCCTCTGTTGCCCAGGTATTACCCATTGATATGGAGATGAACTTCTCCACCCATGAGGAAAGATGCAAATGTACTAAAGCCTACTTGTTTACACCTCTGAACACCTGTTGATATGCAGATGCACCAAAGGCAGGTGAGAAAATCTGGAAATGTTTCAATTTTACCCACAGATGGCTTTAAGAAAGAGAACTTTACAGTTTTGCCAGAGAAAATACCAGGTTCTCTGAGGATAGCAGTTGTATGTGAATGTAAATTAACATTTGTAGTTTTCTCAGGTTCTGAGTTTATTGTAAGCAGGGACTGTTTGATCAGAGCCCTGGCTACTGAGGATTTCAGAAATGGGGCTTAGTGTGGGTGACCTTAGGTATCAGTTTTGGATAAGCACTAATTCTTAGTGTAAGGTTGGAGGCACTAGGGGGAGGGCGGAGCACATCGGACACTGATTATGTGCCAAAGTCCCCGGCTGCTGCCCCCTCCCAACCTGAAAAAGGTGCCTTAGGCTAGCCAGTCCTCCCCGACGCTGTAAACCTATGCGCTCCCTCCCCCTACCTTCTTTAAAAGCTCACTGCCTGCCCTGCTGGGTGTGACTTCCCCGGCCTGTGATAACCAGACTGGAGAATATCACCCAGGAATTGCGCTCAAATAAACTACCTGGCCCTTTGTTGCCTCTCTTCACATGCTTATTTCAGCTAAAATTTATCTTACGCTTAGAAAATGGAAGATACCTTGCAAGGAGGGAGAACATGTTCCTTGGAGGCTCGGTGGTGAAAGGAATGAAAGAAACAGCTGAAGATAAAGGTCCAAAGGAAATAAATGGGGGAAAAAAAACATAAAGTTCCCACCACAACCACCACAAAGAGTACCATTCATTAAGAAACTACACTTCAGGGTAGCCATACAGGAAGGTACTCTTGATAATAAGCCAACTATCTCCCTTCTCCCCCCCATTATAAGATAACTTGCTATTACTGATCCTGAAAAAAAAAATACAAATAATCTTCAACAGAAAAAGAGGCCAGTGTCTTTTCCAAGTTGCTGTAAGAAAACAGAAAACTAAAATCAAAACTTTTGAATACACATGTACACACAGGCAAAGAGTCAATGGAAAAATATAAAGAAAAGCCTCAAAACAGGAAAACAAATACAACACTCAATCATGAATGTATATTAAACAAGTGATTGCATTTTGAAGGGACACCATGAGTCAAACATTCCAAAACTCACAATTGAAATGGACAAACAACAGGAAGATGTATGAAGCAGGAGCTGACTAAACTCTGGAAGGAAATCAATGGAAAAGGACAAAAATCATTTCGGAAATGAAAGCTAAATTACAAGGTATTCAAGGGAAGATAGGTATTACCAAAAATTCAGTAAGAGACGTAAAGAATGGAAATGAGAAAGTCCAAAAAATGAAACTGAAATAAGAGAGATAAAAGGATCAGAGAGAAAGTGATAGAGAAAATCCAGTATATTTAGTTCAAAAACTTGAACTGGAAAAACAAATGGAAAATGAACAGAAATAATATTTACAATTATAATAAAAAAATTTCTGAAATAAAGGATCTGTATTTCCATAATTGAAAGGACTCCTATGTGCCTAGGAGAGTTGATATTAAACAACTGACTTCCTAGCTTTGTCCTACATCCTGTTATTAGACCTTACTAAAATAAAAGGAAAAAATGACCACCTGATCCTCCCCACCAAAAATAATAAATAATTAAACATTTTTAAATAAATTAAGAATGAAAATAACATGGAAAGAAAATCAGCTGAACATCAACACTTCTAAGCAACATATAAAGCAAGAAAATGATGGACATTTTCACAAAATTCAAAATTAGTAATTTATTGTGAAATACTGAATAAGCAAAAAAACTCCTAAATCCATATTAATCGCAAGATTACTTCTGAAGTGCACTTAGAGTGACAGTTGTGGAAGCTCAAAGTCCAAGATCAAAGTGTTAGCAGGATTGATTTCTTCAGAAACCTCTCTCCTTTCCTTTTAGATGGCCAGTTCTTCCCCTGGTGACTTCATACTTTCTTTACTCTCTCTGCCTCCATGTCTTAACCTCTTCTTTGTGCAAGGACACTATCGTACTGGAATAGAGCCTACCCTAAAGGTCTCATTTAACCTTAGATACCTCTTTAAAGATCCTGTCCCCAAATACAGTTAAATGATGAGATATTTAACTTCTGAGTAGAGCTTCAAAATATAAATTTTGGTGGGATCCATTTTAGCCCATAACATACATAACATAAAATTTACCATTCTAACCATTTTTAGTGTACAATTTAGTGGCATTATGTACATTAACATTATCATGTAATTAATATCCATCTCCAGAACTTTTTTCATCTTTGGTATCCAGTTCAGCCCAACTAGGACCCAACCCAGCCCATAACATATACATAACATAAGATTTACCATTCTAACGATTTTTAGCATACAATCCAGTAACATTATCATGTAACTAACCATCATCATCTCCATCTCCAGAATTTCTTTTTTTGTTTTAGTGCTAAAACTACATATTCATTAATAATTCCCCATTTTCCTATCCTTTGCTCCTGGCAACTACCATTCTATTTTCTGTCCCTATGAAGCATTGTTTTAATTTTTTTCATCATTACTGAGTCTTCAGACTGCTTTCCCCAAATTAATAACTTTTATGCTAATTCTGCAAGGTATACACAAATTTTTATCTAGCTAAGAGTTTCTTTAAGGTTTTAAGTCATGTGCAAAATTTTGTCCTTATTTGTATTTCCCTTTTCTTGGGCGAAAGTCCAGATTTCTCATCATCAGATCCCTTGACAGTAGCTTTAGAGACTTAGACCAGTCTTGTTTGATTATTTTTCAAATTAATTCAAAGTTTCAATTTCAAAACTTAATTTTTAAGTTGGTAAGTTGATACATAATTTACAGAAAAAGATAAAAGGAAGTTTAAATAAGTTTAGGTCTTATTATATTGGAATCTAGTATTTATTTGCTATTTGAAGAAGGGTCAATAATTTTTTTAAAACCATTGTTTCTAATTCTTCATTTGGGGAGATTTTGATTCCTATAGTACTTTATTATTTTATACTGTGTTAGGTATATGTTATGTCAGTTCTGTATCATTGTAAATGTAGATATTAAAGAAAATATTTTCCATATTAACCTATCAGTTATTGTCTTCATTTTATTAATACAGTCTTTTGAAAAACATTTATAGAGTCTGTTACTTGGTAAACTGATACACAAAGAAGAATAAGATGTGGTTTTTTTATCTTCAAGGAGGGAAAATATGTACCTACATTGGCCCAAATAAATTATTTTATTTGAGATAAGAGTAAATAAAGAAGGAACTGATGATTGATCCAAATAGGAAACAGAATGGAGAAAATCAGAGAATCATGGAACTGCATGGCCCACTAGCAGCTGGCCAGTAGTTGGATATGAGTCAACCAATAAACTGGTACATAGAGAAGGTGTTGCTAGAGATGAGGCTCGAATGTGGTTAGAGCCAGGTTTTGAAGACCTTTAAATACTGTGATGAAAAACATACCATATGAACACGGAGTTCTTAAACATTTTTAAGTCTCAGTGAAAGACAGGATCTGAGAATATTAGATGATATTAGGTGATCTTATTACATAGTAATTAAATACAATAGAAATACACTTGTAATTGTCATTTAAAACATTTCATTAGGTGATTTTTTCATAGATTATTGATATAATGATTATTTCAAAAACATAGTAAATATATTTTAATATGTTTTATATTTGGCATTTTTATTTTCCATATTTAAATATAGTATTTACCTTAGCTTTGTGTTTTTTAATTACATTTTTTCCAGCTATACGGAAGACCAAATGGATGAGGAACTAATGGAACCTCTGAAATATGCTGAACAACTTCCTGTAGCTCAGATAATACACCAGGTTTGCTTTCCATTTTATTCTTTTGAAAGAAACAGGATTTTTAATCTCTGAAAAGTAATTGCTTTTGTTAGGTTTTCCAGAATCAATGTACATAGCTGAAAGGCATTCCAGGCCATCTTTTCCTATTTGGACTCCACCTATTTCAGTTGGAAGTCTCATTCAAAGCACAATATTAAAAGGCTACTTGCTGTGTAGCAGTTCTTACTTCTATAAAATATAGGGTAAATCAGAATTATCTTCTGTGCATTACCTAACAACAAGACTTAATTTTAGAAAACTTTCATTTGAACCATTGTATATAGTGACAAGGAAAAAGAGCTGAAAAATTATTATTTGGTGTAATTTTTTTGAGTAGCTAAAATGAGAACAATCTTTCCTTACTTCCTCCACCCCACCCCATTTATTAACTCTTGTAAAGTATAATTCTAAATGTCATGTGGGCAGTTTTTTCATTTCCAGTTATAATGACTCTATCATACCTTCCTCATAACTATAATCTTAGAGAAGGTAGCATGGGAGGGAAGTGTTCAAACTTAAATTTTTGTACTGTGATTTGGATAGCATACAGTCTGCTGGTACAGAATTTAAGAATTCTAAGTTGTCTGTTAATAAGAATTATGGCTTTTAGACCTACTAGATTTCTCAGAATCTATAGATTATAGGAAAAATTGAAAAGCTCTTAAGTGTTAGAATTTCTCAGAATTTTAGTGAATGTTAATTATTATGATGATTCTTTCCATATGTCTTTGTCAAACAATTTTTAGCTGATGGGGTTGATTAGAAGAAATGCTGATTTGAGCTCATTAAAAGAAATAGGCTTTTACTTTAAAATGTTGACTATCTAGATCTTTTCATTGACATTTAAAATTTAGTATTAAAAGTTTATGAGAAATTACCAAAAAAAAAAAAGTCAAAATTTGCTGCTTTGAGAACCCTATCTGTACTTGGTAGTCAGGTCCAGTGTATATGTCAGGAATTCCCTAGTGTTGTCAGAGCTTAAATGACCTAACTGCCTGCAAATGTCACATTTAAAATTCTGTCTTCATGCCTGACTCTCAGTGTAAATGAATTAAACAGCAGAGCAGTCAGCAAGTCAATATGTCCTTAACAGTAAGAGTGGGCGATGAAACAGTCTGTGGTTCGTTCAGAATAGGTAAACAGAATATTCCCAGAAAAGTTCACCAAGAATAAAATCTGCAACAGGAAACAAGAGTTAACCTTTAGGATGGTTGACCAGATGAAATGTCAGTCATATTTTTATAGCACAAATGAACCAATAAGCTGTGGTTTATGTAACAGCTGCATTTTGCTATTACACACTGTATGAATTCAAAGATGGAAATTTTTGACCCTAGCAAAAATTTTTATTATGATATTTTTGTCACTGTAAGAAGCTGTGTTAATTTTAACACTGAATTATAAACATTAAAATTAAAATCTGTAGTGACTAATTTAAAATTTTTTTGATTTTTAGGAGATTTGCATGATAAGGATTAATTTCCTGTTATTTTTATGGAATAAAATTAATTCTGTTCTCAAGGGGTATTCAGGAAAGGTCATCATTAAACCAGGCTCTTATCTTTTCTTCTTGTTATTTCCCTTTACTGACAGTACTGCAATGTTGGGACTGCTGTCATTATCAGTCATATGCTTTTAGAAGTATATGAGTTATGTTGCTAGAAGTTTACTTATCGATGGAGTATTTAAAAGCAGTTTTGTTTCCCCCAAGAAAATAGTAATACATGTGAAAATTAGGTTCAGCCAATCTCACAAAAGCTTTTTAATCTGTAATTAAATACATCTGTAAATTATAATATAATTGTAGTCTATAGCTAACTTTCACCTGTAACTATTTTTATACTCTATCTTTCCTCTAATCTTGCATCTTGCTTTAACTATGCCTGTTTTGGGGCATATGTCATTTCTGTTTGAAATCACCTTATGTATTCACAAGTCCTTTATCTCCTATTTGGTTGTCTTTCTAGGCATTCCTGATTTCTTGCTATTCCTTTCAGCATCTTGCTTTGTGCCATGCATGCATATATCAGAATGGATGGATATGTATTTTTAACAGTACACTGAGAGCCATGAGCACCTCTTTTCCCTATTACCCAAATATCAGAAGCCAGGGCCTCTCACTGGTAGCATAGTTTAGAAGCTGCTGGAGAGAAAGAGCAGGGATAGAGGCTGTAATATGAGGAGCACTTTGAGCAAAACAGGAGAGAGGAAAGGGTCTCAGTAATTAATTTTTGTGTGTTACTTGAGTTGCATTTTATGATTAGGAACTAGGCAAGATTCTCAGTATTGCCATTTTATACTGCCAAATAATATAACATTTTTAGGGATCCTAACAAATATAATTGTACATCCAGGAAACCCAAGGGACTCATGTTATAAACAATAAAATTAATAGAAGAATCTGGTAAGAGAGCCAGATATAAAATAGATAAAAGTGATAGCTGCTCTATATTTACAATAAGCACACAGAAGGGAAATGGGGAAATTTTTCTTTCACAATGATGAAAAGAACTATAAAATACTTAGGAATAAATTTAACAAGTAAACTATAGAACCTATGTAGTAGTAGAAACATACCATGTTTCATAAAGAGATATACCAAATACTTGATGGGGGCAGGGAACTTAATATCACAAAAATATAATTTCTCACAAATTAGCAGTTAAAATTAGATTGGCACCAAGTTTTTATTTTAAAGTTAAAAAACAAGTGACCATGTAGTTCATGTGGAGGGACAATATTCAGTAATAGCCAAAATATCTCAGTACAGTGATGTTTACAGCAGCCTTACTGTGACCACAACAAATTAGAAACAAAAGGAATGCCCCTCAGCATAGTTGATACAGTGTATATGATTTTTAGAAGCTGTAATTCAGGAGAGCATATATTTTTATACATTTTCTTATAATTAGATTTATTTTCTTATTAATTGATTTATTGCCCCTCCTCCTGTTTCTGCCTAATGGTAGAAAATGTAGTCACTCACATGTAAGATTTTCTTTCTCTTCCATTCCTTCCTGGAGTGATGGAATCACAATTTGGGTAATAGGGTAGTTGATGTGGATTCATGACACTGAGAGATTCAAGGTGTTCCTCCACTGAATAAACTGTTACATTGTTTGGTTTTGGATCCCATCTTTTCTGGTAAGCACTGAGGAGTCTGGTGTGCTCAGTACATCTGTTAATATTTAACATACCATCTTTCCACATGGTTGCCCAGTGTTAGAGGAAGAGAACAGAGTAGGTAATGGGAAAAACCAGAGTAGGTAATGGGAAAAACCAACTCTCATGTTATCATTCCTTCTCTGTTTTCCCTCTCTTTGTCTTCTGATTTTCCCATTTTTCTTTCTTGTTCCTTTCCCCCATATTTCCTTCTATCTCATTCCTATAAGCTGAAGTTATATGGGTTCTCTCTAAACGGTGAATTTGTTAGCATTCGCATTAGAAAGTGAATTAAACGCAGTGTCTGATACATAGTAGACACTATATAGGTATGGTGACCATAACTGTTGGATTTGGGGGGCTTTGATAGACTGACTAAGAAGCCAAGAGAATTAAGAGATCTCTAAAGGTCACAAAGAGCTTGTTAACAAACCTATTTATGACACTCAGGTTCCTTTCATAGCCAACAATGGTAGCATTTATTAAATGTTTCTGAGTAGGTATGCAAATTGTAGGATTCATTATTTTAACAATTTAGGCAATCTAGTGTTCCTGCAGCAAAATAAAGGAAGTATAAATCATGGGAAAACATAAATTACAATTACTGTTGTAAGGGGCATTACTATATATGAAAGTGCAACTAATCCTTTTAAGGATTTATGAACTTTGTTAGGACTTAAGACTACTATGAAGAAATAGAAAAATGCATATAAAGAAAGTGGTTTGGTTAACCATACATGCTTATGTTGATAATTTCTCTTTAAAGATGATGATTTTTCCCTTAATCCTTTTACTAGGAAGGCAGTTATAGAACTATCTTGCTGAAACAGGTGAGGAAAGAAGTGAATTATTTTTACATATAAGTAATTTTACATTTACTTCACAGATATTAATTTTAAACCATTAAAATAGCTTAAATTTAAGATAAATATTTGAAACATGTGACATGCTAGGGTACTTTTATGGAAAGTTGCTATTTTTTCTTCTTTGTAAAAATAATGGCACCCAGATGGGTCAGATAACATATTTAAAAAAGGATTAGTACATTCATTTTACTTTAATTTGTAAACATAAGAAGGTGATTAGCACTGTGTAGAGTTTGTTAAATTATAAGGTAATGACAAATAGAGATTTAAAAAATAATCAACACAAAAATCTTTTAAGAAGAGAAATTTGTATCTAGTTAGGAATGTATATTAGAGTAGTCCCAAATACAGATCTTACTCAAACTTCCTTTGAAATAAAATATTTTAGAGATGTGCTGAAAACTGAAAAGGTCAGTAATAAATGAATATGTATAATTTAGCTATAATATCATACACTCTTTTTTTAGACTTACCTAGTTATCCATGTATTTTATTTTTTTTAATTTTGTGTTAAGTATATATCCGTGATACCTTAATAAAAATAAATAAATAAAAATTTGTGTCAAGAATCAATTTTAGTTAGCCCTGGCAGATATTAAAATAGGTCTGTAGTGTTCAGATATACAAAATGGCACTGATACAAAAATGTAGGTAGTTCTGTGTGCAGAATTAGAATAGATTACCTAGCTATCCTAGAAACCTCACTGTGTGTATGGACTAGATAAATGATAAAGATCACATCGCAGGCAAGTAGGAAATTAAAGAGTTATTCAATAAATGATGCTGAGACAACTGATAAAATATTTGGGTGGAAAAGACTAGATTTTTACTTTATAACACATGAAAAAACTAAATTCTAATTTGATTATAGATCAATGGAAGAAATGGAAAATATCAAAATAGAAAGTGTGTTGGCAAATATTTGTGAGTAAGGACTTTCTGAGCATGAAAATA